ATTTATTTGTTTCTGGTTACCCAACCCCCTCCTTTGCTGCTGCTGCTGCTGCTGCTGCTGCTGCCGCTGCCTGTTGTGTACAGGCTGCGACTTCTCTGCCTGCATAGACCCGTAATTAAATGGTTTTTCATTTGCTAATAACAGGTCTAAATGAAGGAGGCACTTGCTTCCAGTGAGCTAGTGCTCCCTTGGGCTCTCCCTAAGAAAACTCCAGCCGTTGCTGAATTCTGTGAATTTTCTAGCCCCTGCTAGGGTGATGTGCCTCCAGGCAGGCATGGAGGGATATAGAGGGGTGTCTTTTTACACGAGCCGGGAATGTCCCTTGTGCCTTTCTGGGCTTGGGGATGCACCGGAGCAGCTGGGCAGGAGCCTTCCCGGAGCAGCACAAACTTGGGAAGGGTTTTAGCAGGCTCCCAAGAGAGCACTACCTCGTTGGGGTGTCTTTCCTTCTTGAGAAAGCAGGTGTTGGAGATGTCCCCTTTGCATTGCTCTGCGTGGTGGTCCTGCAGGCATGTGTCACCCTGAGCATCTGAGCTCTCCCCAGGTCTCCTGGCAGGGCTGTAGCCCAGCACAGCCCCTGGCTGCTGGGGCAGGTGCAGTGAGCCTGAGGTGCAAGTGGAGAGGATGCTGGTTGTTTCAGGGGAACCTGGGGGAGGGAGCAGTCCTTAGAAGCAAGGGAAAGCATCTCTCGTGCTCTCCCGGGCACCCTTTTGCACTGGGTTTGTGAGCGCCCAGGGGGAGGAAGCAGCACTCGTGGCACTAGGGCTGGCGTTGGGATCCCTGGGCTCAGCCCGGCTGCCGCTGTGCCCGCACCTTCCCCCAAAGCAGCGGGTGCTGCGGGGAGGGAAGGGCCCTTCCCTGGGGTCTCCAGCTCTGCCACCGCCGGCCTTTCCCCGCAGAAAGCTGCGCTGGCACAGTTTCCAGAACTCGCACCGGCCCAGCCTGAACTCTGCCTCCCTGGAGATCAACCGCCAGTCCTCTGCCCAGCTCAACCTGCTCCAGAAGTGCTCCCTGCTCCGTCTCACGGCCATCATGGAGAAGTACTCTGTGCCCCACAAGCAAGCCTGGACGTGGTGAGCTGGTGGGGAGGGGGACCGGGATGGTGCCCACATGGCGGCTGCAGCTCTGTGCTGCCTCCCAGCCCGGGGCCCACAGCCTGGGGTAGCTTCGGTGTGCGAAGATGGTGGAGAGGGAGTGGAAAAAGCTGAAACAAAAGCTGGCTTTGGTTTGCATGGCTGTGGGCATCCTTGCAAGCGTGAGCTGGGGACTGACGCCTGGGCTTCTGGCATCGTCTGCATCCAGGAGGGCTGCAGGCTTTTGTGGGGCATTAAAAATGCTGCAGCAACGTCGGAGAAGCGGGACAGTGGTTTCCTATTGTAGCCAAGTATTAAAGCATTTTGGCTTAATAAAAGGTGCTGGAGTTCCTGCTCGAAAGCTGCCTGGCTTATATTCAAAACATGGCAGAAGCACATGTATGTGTGTGTCACCGGGGGTCCTGCTCCCCTCTGCGAGGTGATGCTGAGGGAGCCGTTCATTGCACTGACGTCTGTCTGTCTCACCCCGCAGGACTGTGCCCAAGTTCATGAAGCGGAGTAAAGTCCCCGACTACAGGGACAAGATGGTCTTCGGGGTGCCGCCCATCATCAACGTGCAGCGGACGGGGCAGCCCCTGCCGCAGAGCATCCAGCAGGCAATGCGCTACATCCGCAGCCAGTGCCTGGACCAGGTGATGCCGCGACCCCCGGCCATGGCTGCGGGGCGGCTCCGAGCCTGCCGCTGTGCAGCAGTGCTGTGATTTGGGGAAAAAAGCTGGCTTGCAGGGGTGCTTTTTGTTCACTTCTTGTGGTGCTTGGCCGTGGTGAAGCGGGAGGGTGAGATTCTCTGTGGGAACCCCACACCCACCGGTGTCTCCTTGGCCATCCCTCACTCGGGCTTCTCCTCTGGGTTGGAGGGGTGTAAGGCCTTTGGGGAAGGGGCTTCCTTGCCTGTCCCACGGGAGTCCACCTGGGTGCCTGTCGGGTCGGTGCCCGCTCTATGCTTGAGCACCAACCCGCTCTTCCCCGGCAGGTTGGCATTTTCCGAAAGTCAGGGGTGAAGTCCCGGATTCAGGCGCTCCGGCACATGAATGAAACCAGCCCTGACAATGTCAACTACGACGGGCAGTCGGCGTACGACGTGGCTGACCTGCTGAAGCAGTATTTCCGCGACCTGCCAGAGCCCATCTTCACCAGCAAGCTGACGGACACCTTCCTGCAGATCTACCAGTGTAAGTGCTGGGCTGGGGCCGGTCGCCTCTGGGCTGGGGATGAAAGTCAGGGTCTCCCAGGGGGGAGGCATCTCTCTGTTCATTCGGGCAGAGGCGGGGGGGGGGGGTCGGGGTGTTTGGACAGAGGCGCAGATGGTGGTCTGTGGGGATGGACCTGCTGACCGTCAGCTTTGCCCTGTGCTCGCAGTCGTGTCGAAGGAGCAGCGGCTGCAGGCGGTGCAGGCAGCCATTATCCTCATGCCGGACGAGAACCGGGAGGTGCTGCAGACCCTGCTCTACTTCCTGAGCGACATCGCTTCTGCGGAGGAGAACCAGATGACCGCTGGGAACCTGGCCGTGTGCCTGGGGATGGACCTGCTGACCGTCAGCTTTGCCCTGTGCTCGCAGTCGTGTCGAAGGAGCAGCGGCTGCAGGCGGTGCAGGCAGCCATTATCCTCATGCCGGACGAGAACCGGGAGGTGCTGCAGACCCTGCTCTACTTCCTGAGCGACATCGCTTCTGCGGAGGAGAACCAGATGACCGCTGGGAACCTGGCCGTGTGCCTGGCCCCCTCCATCTTCCACCTCAACGTGTCCAAGAAGGAAAGCACCTCGCCGAGGTAAGGGTTGGACTAGCTCTGGCCTCCCCAGCCTTCCTGCAGTCCCCGTCTCCCCATCGCCCCTTCCCTGTCTGTCCTGGGAGGAGGCCACTGAACTGGGGTAAGGCATGGTGGGAAGGCGCGTGCTCTCACACAGCCCCCCATTGCTCTGCTTTGCAATGTGGGGGTCCCCCACACTGCGACACAAAGCAGAGCAATGGGGGGCTAGAGGCGGGCAGGATGCCCAGCCGGTCCCAGCAATACCTGCTCCCCCGCAGGGTGATACATAAGAGGGGCACCATGGGGAAGCCTGACCAGAAGGACCTCAACGAGAACATGGCTGCGACGCAGGGGCTCTCCCACATGATCACTGACTGCAAGAAGCTCTTCCAGGTGGGTGGCTGCAGCGTGTCCAGCCTGGCATTGCCCTCCCTGGGCGCTGCCAGTGAGAGATGCGACCCCGCTGGCGGGGTGCTGGTCCTGTGGAGTCAGTGTGGGGCAAGATAAGGGCACCCATCCTTCAAGGGGCAGCTGCCGCCGGTCAGTCAGCCCCAGGAGCGAAGCCCAGCTGCATCTTCTCGTGGTGCAGGTCACAAGCTGCAGGACCTATGTCCAGGAAGGCTGTGTCCATTCTTCCCCCCCTCCTTGGTGGGATGAGGAGTTGTGGTTTTCTGGCTGCTCAGGGCTGCTCACAAAGTCCACATAGGGTTCCTCTGGCTTTCTGAAGATCTCTATGCTCTTGGCTTGTAGGTATCCCATGACATCTTGCTCCAGCTGAGCAGCTCGTATATGGCAGCAGATGCTTACCCCCATCCCCTGGCTGACTTCGTGTGTCAGGGGGAAAGCAAGGATTTACACTCCTACTTCGAGCAGAGCGTCCAGAGCCTGCTCAAAGAATCGTCGGAGAAATTCAAGGGGTGGCTGAGCACCCCGGGGCCCCTGAACACAGAGCTCTCCTGCAAAAAGGTAAATGCCACTGTGTGGAGGGGGCCTTGGGGGCACGTGGGGAAATGTGACGGGGTGACCACTGGGAGCCACAGGTCCTGCGGGCACCTGCCAACCGGCTAACGACCCCTTGGCGTTTGTTCCCTTCGGCGAGGAGGGATCAGCAACCCCTGCCTTGGCCAGAGGAGGGGCTGAGAGTTGAACAGCTCTGGGATGGAGGATGCTCTGTGCCCAGCAGTCCCGGCAGAGAGCCCACCCCATTGTTGTTAGCAGAGGAGCTGGCTGCCTGTGCCCATCCCATCCTACCCCATCCCCTCTCTCGCCAGCAGATGTGACGGTGCTGCTCCACAGTGGTGGGAGCCACTGGTAAAGCCGCTCGGGGGGTTAGCACTGTGGGGGTCCTGCAGGACAACCTGCCTGACCCTTCCCTTGGCCCATCAGGTTGGGGATGGGCACCCTCTGCGCTTGTGGAAGGTCTCCACAGAGGTCGAGGCCCCTCCCGCCACCGTGCTGCACCGGGTGCTTCGGGAGCGTCACCTCTGGGATGAGGACCTGCTGCAGAGCAAAGTGGTGGAGGCCCTGGACAAGAACATGGAGGTCTACCACTACGTCACGGACAGCATGGCACCCCACCCGCGCAGGGACTGCGTGGTGCTCCGGTGAGGGCAGGGAAAGACCTGAGCGGGAGGGTTTGGTCTTGGTTTGGTGGATCCCATCTGGCCCCAGCCCTGGCTGCTCTTCCTTGGGCTGTACAGGCTCCCCCACCTCCTGCTCCCGATGCGGACCCCGAGGTCTGGGCAGGGGCTGCCCGCAGGTGGGCACGCAGGGACAGGAGCTGAGCAGGGCTGCTCTGTCCCGCAGGCGCTGGCGCACGGACCTGCCACGGGGAGCCTGCCTGCTCATCTCCATCTCGGTGGAGCACGACAAGCTGCCGGTGGAGGGAGGCGTCAAAGCTGTCGTGCTGATGTCCCAGTACCTCATCGAGCCCAGCGCCATGGGACGCTCCAAAGTGACCCACATCTGCAGAGCTGACCTCAGGTAACGGGGGCCCTTGCTGCCGCTGCATCAGTGGCTGCATCAGCCATGGGGGAGGTTGATGGAGCAGCAGGTAGTGGTAGGGCGCAGGAGCTGCTCGTCCCTTTGCTTGCCTGGCCTGGCAGCACGGGCAGGGTTGCAGCTCACGCAGTATGGTGCCTGCCTGCCCGGAGGGAAGGGGGTGCTGGTCTGGGGCCAGGTTTTAGCTGCCAGGTGGTTACTGGGAAAGGAGCCACCAGCTCGGTCTTGCAGTGCTGGCAGTTCCTCTGGTGGCTCCGAGTGCGGCAGCAAGTCCCTTAAAGCTTCTGCAGAAACCACGGGGTCCCCCGTGGGTCTGAAGCATGGCATTGGTGCTCTCTTCTGTGGCGAGCCGTGCTGGGGTGTAGTGGTGTAAGGATGGGCTGATGCAAGGGGCAGTCTGGTTGTCATTCTGGGCTGGTGCAATCCCGGCTGGGTCACAGATATTCCCCTGTTTTGCCACAAGTCTGCGGTGGGGAGTAGGGGAGGCACGTTCCCTTCTCTGTCATGTAGTGCTCGTTCAGCGTCTCATAGTCCATTGCAGCTGGATCTATGCCGAGTGCCTGTCCCGGAGCAAGAAGTGACGTGCTGCTCCTTGGCGCCTGCCAGGGTCTCTTCTGCCTGCTTACCCTCCTCCTGCCTGTTCCCTTCTCCAGGGGCCGATCTCCCGAGTGGTACAACAAGGTCTTTGGCCACCTCTGCGCCATGGAGCTGGCGAGGATCCGAGACTCTTTCCCAGCCCTGAGTCCCAATGGTCCCGAGACGAAGATCTGAGGCACCAGGAAGATGCTCTGTCCTGTCTGACGTGGACTTGCTGGTGGATCCGGGCTGGGGCTCTCAGAGGGGAGCACGGTGCAGGCAGCCAGCCGTGGAGGGGGAGGCAGAGGCTGGTGCGCTTGCAGGCACATATTTATAAGCATCCTTTTACCCTGGGCTGGGCATTCCCCATCCCACCGTCCCTGCTTCTGCTTCAGCCGCCCCTTGCTCAAGCGCGCTGCTGCACAGCAGGTTGGCCGCAGAGGGCGAAGCCGTGCAGCCCATGGTCTCGGCAGGAGGGGTTGGTGAGCAGAGGGAAAGAGAGGGGCTGTGGGGGTGACCCCCCAGGAAGGCAGCCTGCGGGCAGGGCTGGGAAGCAGCCGGCCCAGGCTGACCTGGGTCCCCCCATGCGAGCCGGGAGCAGCCGCGGGGGCGAAGGTGTGTGGAGCGAAGCGGGAGGGCGCAGAGGCGCGGATGAAGCGAGTGGGGAGGACGGTGCTGCGCCTGTAGGTCGCAGCGCTGTGTTGGGAAGTGAAGGATGGGCAGCAAGGCGTGGATCGTGTGCGGTGTCACCCAGCGGGGACAGCCAGGGAGTCACTGTGAGAACCTGCTTGGTAGTGGAAGAGGCTGCTGTTCTGGGAGGAGGGAGGCTACATCTAGATATCTAGGTATGCCTTGAGTGCCAGCCCTTGTCGAGTGGCAGAAGGAACCTATTGCCATTACCTCTGGTGCTGAATTTCGTAGGAGAAGAAGAAAAAGCCCTCTAGTCCTGTGCCTTGCTCTTACTCGGCTAAAAGCCCTCTCTTGTGCACTAGGTTTCAGTGGGGGCTGGATGGATGATGTTCCAAGGCAAGCCTGTCCCTCGAAACCAGCCCACCCGTCATCTGGAGGGGGCAGGACATGTCTAGAGCCCCAGGGCAGCTGCCCTTGTGGTTAGCTACAAGCTGGGAAGGGGCAGTGCCCCACCGGGCTGGTTACAAGGAGGCACCGTGGGAGGGAGGGAGGGAGGGAGGGATACGGCCAGTGCTGCAGCTCCCAATTCCTTGCTGCTGTTGGGGTTCACATTGCACTGTCCCGGAGAGGGGAGGAGCGCAGAGCAGCCTTGCCAGCACCGGCTGCACCGCGGCAGAGCTCTGGGCTGAAAGCTTTGGCCAAGGCAGCCTGAGCACACCGAAGGGCTGTGCTCGTCCCAGCTAACGAGGGGACAATGCAAGCAAAGCATGGTAGCCCAAGCTGGGCCAAGTACGTGCCAGCTGCTCAGGCCGGGCTCAGTCCTGTCCTGGCCCCTGCAGTAAGGTAGTGTGGCAGGGAGGTGGAGTTGTCCTGGATTCACCCCTCTTTGGGCAGCTACAGGTGGCAGAGCCCGTGCCCCTCCTGGGTGCAGAGCTACTCCCTGCAGAGACGTCCATTCCCCTTCCCATCCCTCCCTTTTCCTCCGCAGAGAAACCGTCTGCTGTAGCTAACAGCACCCGGGACCCGACCTGGTTTCTCCGTTCAGGCAGGGACCCAAGTTACCAGACATCATTCCAACTGGAAGGCAACATGACCCACACGCGGGAGTGATTCCCGGTGTCAGTTTTGCCGTAACACATCCCATCTGTCTCTCTTTTGGTGGAAAAAAAAAAGCAACCCAGCCTGTATTCTGTGTTTTTATATATATATATTTTATATATATAAAATATAACTAACATTTGGGGGAGTGATTTTTCTCCTAATATTTTTTTAAAATGTTTCTTTTTTTCTATCTATAAATACTTGTACAGTTGGAATATTAATATATAACTCTGGCGGTAGAGCTCAGCACCAGGTGATGTTCACTTAAAAGACGTGTATTTTGTAATTAAGGGACTTTTGTTTTGTATCATATGCAACTGCAACAGATTGTTTGACTTGGATCGGGGCTGCTCTTCCCATCCGTGTAATTAATAAAGTACTAACGATATCTGCTGGCTGATGAGGAAACCTTCATGCTTAGCGATTCTCCAACACAGGAGCATCCCAGAGCTGAGCCATGCGCTTTCCTGTGGGGCTGCGGAGCTGGAGGTAGTGCCTGGCAGGCTGGGGAGCCACGGGCACCCTTGTGCTGCCGGGGAGGGTCAGGCGCTGCTGCCCTGCAGTGTCACCAGGGCAAAGCTCTTGTGGGACTCGTGCAGCTCCAGCTGCTTGGTCTGCAAACAGCCCTTCACCTTCTCCTGGAAGGAGGCGGTGGTGATGGTGTAGAGGATGGGATTCAGGGCGCTGTTGATGGGCAGGATGAAGATGACCACCCAAGAGGTGATGGTGCCTGTGCCAACAAGGACACGACATTAGGCAGCGGAGGGGGGGCTGCCCCCTGCCCAGGGGGAACCCACCTGCTCCAGCCCACGCAACAAAGAGGGGTGATGCCATTTGTGGGCTCATGGCTGGAAGGGCAGCCCCCCATGGGAGGGTCAAGACTTCTGCTCCCTGGGGAGAGGTAGGGGCCCAGGGAAACCAGTAACGCTGCCTGCCTCCCCTTGCAGCCCGTGCGTGGGTGAAGAGAGCGCCAAACTCAGCAGCACCTACATGGAGGGGTCCCCGACCCAGGGACTCATGGCGAGCAGCAGCCAGCGGTGGGCTCCGCTTCAGGGCCTTGCGGGGAATGGGGGTTCACCTGGTATTTCCACCTGCAGCAGGGAGAGCAGCTTGAGGAGGAAGATGGGTATCCAGCAGAGAGCATCAGTGAAGACGATGAAGAAGAACCGCTTTGCGATGGTGACTTCCCGGGAGCAGACGCCTCTCTCCGCTGTTTTGGACGCAGTGATGTGGATGGAGTAAAACATGCCGGAGTAAGCAAAGACGATGGTGATGAAGGCTGCGAGATTCAAGCCTGGAGAGGAAGAAATCTCACTTTGAGCATAGCCAAAGTGCAAACCTCGTGAGCTGGGATCGGCGGCGTGGCTGGCGGCAGCAGGATGACTCCTGCTTTTATCACTAGAGGGGGCAGAGACATCTCAGCAGCCCCGGCTAGTCCTGAATCCGGCCTTAGCCCAGCAATGCCCACGGCCTTGGCCAGCTCTGGGGTGAAGCTGGGCACAGCACCAGGCTGGAGCAGGGACCCTCCCCACCCCGGGACAGAGGGCAGAGCTGGCACCCCCGTCTTACAGGGTCCCAGCAGGATGGCAGTGCCCCATAAAGTCAGACATCCCGCTAACAGAAGCAGTGCAGGCTCTCATGGCGCCCCAGAGGGGCCAGCTGGGCTGAGCAGCCCCACTCCCACCAGGGAAGCCCGTCCTGCCCCGCATCGTCCCCATCCCCGGGTCCCAAGTCCCAAGGTGGCCTTACCCAGGTAGATGGTGGCGGAGTAGCCCCGGGCACTGGGCCGCTCACCCAGGTCGGACTGCAACGGGAAGCACACCCCGTTCCTCCCGTAGTAGTTCCCAAAGGACTCCTTACACCATAGGGGGATGATGCTGAGGGAGAAGCCCAGAAGCCAGATGGCTGCTAGCACCGAGATGGTCTGCTTCTTGCCGGCTCTGTGGTGGCTGAACGGGAAAGCAATAGAGAAGTATTTCTCCAGGGTCATGTAGGTCAGCAGCAGGACTGACACCTCAGAGGACAGCATGGCCAGGCTGCCCACCAGCTGGCACTGGAGGCTGCCCATCCAGCCCTGGGCGTGCTTGTTGAATTCGCCCGAGTACTTGAGGTCAAAGGCTCCGATGACGAAGAGGTAGATGCCCATCAGGCCATCTGCACCTGGGAGGGGAGACAAGGTACAGTGAGAAAAAAGCACCAGTGGGCAAATGTAGCCCTTTGCACTAATGCCACGGCCATAAAGCCATCATAGAGCTGGGCAGCCTTTGGATTTATGCATATATATATATAAAAAAGAGCTGCCTGCTGCTGCCTGTGAGCACAGACCTGAGGGCAGGGGCTGAGATGCCCCAGGCACAGAGGAATGCCCAGAAACCCATCTGCCGTCGGCACAAAGGGAAAAATGGGCAGTGAAGGGGCCCTGGCTGCACTGGGGAGGGCTGGCATCAGCTAGACAGCTCCTCCCTCGGGAGATGCTGGTGGCAGCTCATCCGCCCCAGGTTTCTTCTGCGCCCCCCCACCGGTCCCTGCTCCTCCGCCACCCAGCTCACAGCACAGGGACTTGATGGCCATGGTGTGCTGGCTGTTCTCCGTGACGATGAAGGACCGCATGCAGATGACGAAGAGGTTGCCGAAGCAGGTGAGGCAGGCGATGACCCAGACGAAGACGCGCAGGATGACGTTGGCCAGGAGGTTCTCAAAGGAGGAGATGCCGTCGGTGTTGGGCTTGCAGCTGCGCACGTGGGGTGCATAGCGGCAATACTGGAACTTCTTGAAGTAGCTGTCAGGGCGGGGAGGGGGGAGGAAGGTTTCCTGGCTGCCACTAGGACTAGGAGCAAACATGGTCCGGCATGCACAGTCCCCCCTGCCCCGCACCCTGCACTCTGCCTGCCCCCACCAGCTCCCTCCAGCCCCTTGTCCACATTTTTCCCCTGTCTGGGTGGAGAAGAGCCCCCCCACCTCACTCGCCAAGGGTCTGGGGACTTACACAGACCAGGGGAAGGGAGATGGGGAGGTTAGGGGGAGGAAGGAGGCAGTAGCAACGCGGGGTGGGAGCAGGGACAGGACGATGCTCCCTGCAACAGCACCCGGGGCTGGGATCTGCAGGGGACAGAGTGTGACGGAGCTGAGCGAGGGGGCTCCCCGTTCGCACAGCACTACAGCTGGTTTTGGACACCAAATAAGCAACACCCCGAAGCCTTTGCAAAACCGGCTAAAAGCACCCCAGTGCTTTTTGGATCATGTAACCCAGGCACGCTCTTAAATCTGCCACTATTCAGCACTGTCAACTGATAAATACAAGAGTGTTTTCCTCCAACCCACGATTCTCACAAACTAACATTTAAAAATCAATCCCTTATTAAAATCCTTCAAGTTCCATTACAGGGATTCACATTTTTTCCCCTGCATATTATTTCCGATTAATCCTTTCAAGCCTTATAAAAGCCAACCCATATAAGCTTAGCAAAACTCTACATTAGAAAATGACTACAAAACTGCAATGCGAGGCTTATTTCTGCTTAATTATAGATAAAAATCCCTTATTCAAATCCTTCAAGTTCCATTACCAGGGATTCACATTTTTTCCCCTGCATATTATTTCCGATTAATCCTTTCAAGCCTTATAAAAGCCAACCCATATAAGCTTAGCAAAACTCTACATTAGAAAATGACTACAAAACTGCAATGCGAGGCTTATTTCTGCTTAATTATAGATAAAAGGAGAGAAAATGATTGCTTATTAGCAAGTCAGGTAGAAAAATGTACCATATTTATAGTGCAAACAGACCAATTACAGAAAGGAAGATGTACAGTTGTCTTTCATTACAGGTACTTTAAAATATGCATCTGGAGAAAATTAATGATTTTTTTTTTCTCCTTCCAAAGAGAAGCTGAAGCGCTCACAGCTGGCTGCGCGGTCCTGTTTCCATCCTGTGTGCGATGCCTGTCCAGCCTGTCTATCTGCACGTCTCTGGAGTTCTTGGGTCATTATCTCAGACCCAAGCAAAAGGACCTCTGATGGCATTACTCAACCACAGCTCTCAGCACACAGCCTAGCATGCCTCGGCCTGACAGAGTCTACCTTGCCCACGTCACCTGCGTGATGTGCACCTTCAGAAATGCAGATCGCTCTGGGGCACCCGTGGCTCTGCAAACTGCTCCCTTCGCATGGGCAAAATGCTCCCCTTGCCCTAAGTAAGGCCCAGCTAGGACAGACCCTCTTGCCCCAGGGGGATTTAAACAGTATCGTCATGCTCGGGGGCTTCCAGTGGGCTGAAATAACTTGCTCACGGGTGTGGGAGTGAACCGGTTTCCCTCCCCGCACCCAGCACCCCCAGGCACAGGTGCTGGGGCAGCAGCACCCACCCACTCCCCCCCCAACTCACATGTGGGAGAGGTTGGTCAGCTTCTGGAAGGTCAGGTTGTGGATGTTGGGGATCTCCAGCCCTTCCAAGCTCCTGCAAAAGGAAACCAGTGCAGGGGATGCTGTGGGTGGCCCCAGGCTGGGTTTGGGGCCGCTGCAGGCGGAGGCAGTGCTGTAGGGTTGGGGATGTTGCAGGACTCACAGAGACCGTAGCTGGGGCAGGCTCTCAAACTGGCCGGGGAAGATCTCTTTCAAGGGATTGTAGGAAATATTCCTGAACAAGAGACAAGCCTTTGGTGTTTTTCTCACCTGGAAGCTACTGGAGTAGCTGGAAGCAAGGGCAAAGGGGTGTCTTTCTATGGCTTTTTCCAGCACTCCCCATTCCCCCGGGACAGGTCCACAGCCCCAAAACAGGGGGTCTGTGATGGCACCATGCTGCAGGCAGACCTGCCAGGAGGGAGCCTGTCCTGTTGGGGCCACCGTGGCTCTGGTGAGCGAACAGACTGTGCAGCAAAGACATCCACCCAACATGATGCAGGGGGTGCAGGGGTCCTGCAGGGCCCCCCATCACTCACGGGGCCCCCCATCACTCACGGGGCAGGGGCACCCCCTGGGGCCTGGGGCGGGCAGGGGCACCCCCTGGGGCAGTGCAGCCCCAGTACTCACAGCTGCTGGAGCTGAGCCAGTCCATTAAATAGAGAGGAGGGGAGCTGGTCTAGTCTGTTGGACGACAGGTCGCTGTGCGAAGGAGAGCCGTGTTTGAGAAGTGGTTGAGGGCACCAAGCCTTGCACCTGGGGTTGCTGAGCCGCGAGGTGCCCTGGGCAGGGGGCAGAGCGGGGTGCCAAGCAAGGCCCCCACCCCTGCCCCCAGCACAGCCCCTGCCTGCGGGAGCGCGG